GGACTACTTAAATAGGCAATCAAAAGTTGTACGTGTGACTAGTTGTACTCTCGTGATACTGATAAAATATATAAAGCCGGTGCTAAAATTAACATTGGCCTACTGCTTGTACTAATAAAGTGCCAAGGGCCTAAAAAAAAAAAAACTATGATTTTTTGCAATTGGCCAGAATTATGTAAACTTGCTAGCATTATAATCCCGTAAATTCTGGCCAAATTAATGTTAGCCAACTAAATCCAAGAATTAATTCAACTACCCCAAAAACACCACTAAAAATTAGCCAGTCAGAATTTGAGATTAGGTGTAATGTAAAATCAAAACAATCGAATTTAAAGTAATAAGACCTTTAACATTAGGGTAAAGTAGTGTTGTAAGCTGACTAGGATAGCCGCAGCTAAGCTGGCTTAGCCAACTAAGCTAGCCAAAATAATATAGTCGGCTAGCTAATACAGCTAAAAGTCACATGATTCATAAATAGTAGAATTAGTAGAATTACAAAAAGAAAAATAAATACTTTGAGAAAATTTCCAAAATATTCTGAAAAATAAACTATTAGTCAGGCATTAGCCAGCCACTTAGCCGATGTTTTAGTCAGCTGGCTTAGCCAGCCGTCTAAAGTCATATGGCTTACAACACTAGGGTAAAGTTAAAACAAAGTTATAGCAGTAGTTTATACTAAAATTTGATAAGAGATTTTTTTTTGAATTTTCATGATCGTGTAACGTTACACCTGATCTTGAAATCTGATTGGTTGCGTAGTTAATCAATTCTGGGTGTCATGTGACGATCTGCAGTAAATTAGCCAATAACGATTTCCAATTTGGTGTAACGTAACACGATCAGGAAAATTCAAAACACGTTCGCTCTGAAGAAATCGCTTATTACTAACAAAAAAATGATTTTTACCCAATCTAAATAAATCTATTGGTTATTTAAGGCAAGTATTCATTCTGCTTGCTGCATCAAACGTTCCACGTATTCTTAGCCTTTTAATCGAGGGTCGTGGTAACTTGTGTATCTTGAGGGGAAATTTTCGGGAGTAACTGGAATTTGTTTGCTTGATAACTTCCACTCTTTGGGTGGTTGCGGTTGCGACTACCTTCACATCCTTCCTATGTCAACCGACTTGCGTGGCATGTCCAAGACTTATGGAGTCGCGTACTCTGGATGATGTATCGTCATTCGACTGCTATGTGGTAATATATTTTCTTTATGAGGCTAAAAGGTTCTTTATATACAGATATTCAAGCCTGGATAGTGGTGAAACCTCTTTCCTAATTCACGAATATGTTCGACCGTTGAACCACCCGATTTACGGATCAAATTATACTATGAACTATACGTATCCTAAATCTTGTGTTTTAATGAATGTATATAGTAAATTACTTAAGCGCAAGCCTCTAACTACTCTGTTACATAAATAACAAACTTAGGACTTTCAAGTTTATAACAACGGAACTTGACCTCTGAAAATTCAATTATCGATAAAATAAAGTGTAATTAAATTATCCAGGATCATCAAATTCATTAAATTATAAATATTGGTTACGTAAAAATCAGCTATGTGATATGTTAACCTTATGAGATTTAGTTTGTTATGTTTAATATTATTTTATAAGATTAAAAATTACAGTAAAACTAATATCAATTTTAATATTTTATGCTTTACAAAATTTATAAATCTAATATATGATATATTATTTTTATACTATCCAACCAGTATCAAAGAAATAAATATATTTAAAATTGATTTGACTATATAACAAAATATGTATTTTTTAAATCTATGTAAAGAAAAACTTTGTCTTATCAGTTATGACACATCTAGTTATCACTTATAAAAATATTAAGAACTATACACAAAATTTCGATTTTATATTCAATGCTACAAAAGCAATAAAATGATAACTAAGTTTTCAACTATGAATAAATCAAACATTTTATATTGATTATTCTATACCACCAATCAAAAAATAAAATAAATAAACAAAAAAAAAAAAGAATCAAAAAAAAACAGCCTTTGGGATATTATATAGGACGCATAATTTCATCGTAAATGAGTTCTATTTTCAATGATAAAGATTAAATTAAAGATATGTCACAGTCATTACCAGAAACCAAGATATTAAAAATATCATACGTTTTAATTGCTCCTTTGATAATTGCTCTTTGTGTTTATCGAAATCAAAAAAGGACTCTGGGATTGGATTGGCAGATGGCTCATCGTCAGGATCATGGTACTTTAAACAGTTAAAAGTATTAATATGATTTATTTTACATTAAATCGATATAATATTAAAGATAACTTACGGGTTCCAAATAAGGATGCTTTAAAGCTTCTTCAACGGTAATTCTCTTTGAGGGATTGAAAGCCAGCAACTTTTCCAACATATCAAGTGCTAATGGATTTGCATTCGGAAACATATGAGAAATTGGAATTCGTTTCTTAAAGGGAAGTGATCGGATGTAATCGCGAGCCTGTAAAATGTTGTGTCAATGGTAAGGTTTGTATAATTTAATATAGAAAAGTACCTTAGTAATACATTACCCTTCTACTTTTGATGCCATAAAAGTCTTCCATTGTTGGTGTACCGAGAACATCGAGAATTAAAGTGAGTTGATGATGATCTATTATAGAAAAAAAAAGGGTTGTGAACAAAGTAACTTTATCAATTTTAATTATAATTTTAATTATAATTAGAAGACTAATTATCATTCTTACAATCCCTTCCTGGAAACAACGGCTTTCCATTCAACATTTCGGCTAAGATACAACCAACTGACCATACATCAATGGCTTTTGTATACTCTTTAAATGTCAGCATAATTTCAGGAGCACGATACCATCTGGTAGCAACGTATTCAGTCATAAAGCCACTGTGTTCGTCACTTGAATTGGCATTTCTGGCAAGACCGAAATCGCAAACCTATTTTTAAATAAAATTAATTGATTCATAAACTAAATAGGGATGAAATAAACCAAATTTTTTTTACCTTCAAATCGCAATTCGCATTAAGCAATAAATTACTTGGCTTAAGATCACGATGAAGAACGTTTGCAGAATGCATAGCTTTCAGGGCACGTAGAGTTTGGTAAATAAAATATTGACAATGATCGTCACTTAAATCTTGGGTACGAATGACACGATGCATGTCTGTTTCCATTAATTCTTGGATGAGGTAACTAGTAATTATAAAATAAAGGTGTGAATGGCCATGAAGCTAAATGTTCAAGATTTGATGACTTTCTTTTACTTACACTTCAGTAAATTTGTCCAAACTTTCTGGTTTTACAATATCTAGGATAGCGATAATCTAATGGATCATGTTTTAGTCATAATTATTTATTAAAATAGAATAATTAAAAGGCAAGAATTGGATACAAACATTTTCGTGGTTAAAATAACGTAATAGCTTAATTTCTCTAAGTGTGCGGAGACAAAACATAGAATGGTCAAAGGGAGTTATTTTTTTGATTGCTACTTTTTGGCCAGTTGGTTTGTGAATGGCAGAACTAAAATATTTAAGAAAAATAACGTTCATTGATTTTCAGCGGGGCTTAAATTTAAATGCACCTTTCTAGAAGCTACAAAAACCTACCAAACAATCCCATATGCGCCTTCACCGACTACGTCTATAACTTCATAATTTTCCCCGACATTGAAAACCGGCTTACGTTGAGAATTTCTACTGCTCATCCTGTTAAATGTAATATATCGGTAATGGATAATAAGTTTAACTCAAGCGATAGCTAATGAGATTTTTTGTGGCTTATATTTTATGCAGAAAATTGGGTTTTTATACTTTATCTGGTAAATTAAGATTGTCGTTGTAACTATTATGTCCTTGTATATTAATTTTATTAAGCATTATCATAACAAAATATTATAAATTCGTACAAAGAAATAAAAAAATTATTAAAAAAGGAAGACAAAGATATTTATGTACATTAATAAAACCTTGTTTTACTGAAAAATAGCACTAATTTGCTACGAATGGTTTTAAAAAAATTTATCCATGCATTTGATTAAGTTGCACTTTTTATTACGTATATCACAAATAATTAATCGATTGTAGTTTTCCTAGTCTTATGTAATAACAAGTCTTATGTAAATTACGATAAATGGTGAAATTTTGATATTGGGTCTTAAATTTATACCAGACACAATCCTTAAAAGAATTAGATTGAACTGTAATGGTAAGCAGTAAACTTGAAACTCCGAAAACAGGTTTTCTCCTGGCGATACCTAAATGTGCTAATGCTCTCTAATTTTATTTATTGCTTCTAAAGTACCATACAGAGCAGACCTGGGTGCGATACACTTTACAGGCAAATTTTGTATACAAGTGGTTTTTTTATTTTTTTTTATACAAATTTTTAATGTACGTACGTAGGTAATACGTATCTGGTATCGATAAATTTTTATATGTCCAAATTCGTTCAAATAAAATTTTATATGTCCAAATTCGTTTAAATAAAATTTTATATGTCTCTTAAAAAATCCGACCCGAACCGAAAACCTCAAATTCAGCCAATCAACGTGCGTCATTTTATTTCGGGTCTGGTTCAACTAACGCCGCCAATCGGATTTCAGGATCAGGTGTAACGTAATTTTTGTGCAACGAATTTTTAGCACTGACTCTAACCCTAACTGTACCGCGATTTTCTTTTTACACGCGATTTTTTGTCCGAAGCGTAGCGAGGACTCTTATGTACATGTAATAGTTGCAAAATGTCCGTCTGTCCGGCACATGCCTTTCCTTTATTGGCAGTTTATTCCATACTAGACCTTAGACTTGAAAAATGTCCGTCTGTCCGTCACGTGCCTTTTTTTATTGGCTGTTATGCCCTATACGAAATTATTCTTATTGGCCGATAATTAGGTCAGATCTGCGATTTTTTTTTTTATACTTCTTACCTCTTACCTCTTTATTTTATACGTACTTATTATATCACTATTATAGTAATTTTTTTTACTCAATTACAGATTTTATTTATTTTATGTTAAGCTTCGGACTCACAACAGTTCCTGTTAACCTAGTATTTAGAAAACAAAACACGTTTGTTTTGACTATCTGATTTTAAATTTTAATTGGCCAAAATTACAGGGTGAACAAGGGTGAACAATAAATGGGATGTCTATAGATGGTGGTGAAATTATGTCGATGTTGAAATTGGTGAGATTAATTTTTTTTAATTTTTTTAATATTAAAATTAATTTAAAATATAGAAATTATTGTTGAAATTATTGTTGAGACTAGATATTAGCTGCATTAGCCAGCTGACCATATTATTTTAGCTGGCTTAGTTGGCTAAGCTGGTGTCACACCCAAACTAACCTCTTCGGATAGTTCAAGGGACGGGGTGTTGTGGTATACAAAACCACTACCAGGGCATGGAAGGTAAATAGTAAAGGTTTAAGTCAATTCTATAACTTATCAATGATGATTTGTCTAAGGCTTTTATTCGAAAGAGGCACAACACAGATATATATGAGGATATATAAGGTTGTATTTAATGCTTCACAACAATAATGTTAACAATAGATATTCAAGTCACGTGATAATGTTCTAAAAGATTTTTTATTAAGAAGATAAGAAAATTTAATGTGTATGAAGACACAGTTACTTTATCTAACCAATAAAGTAACTAAATAATACAAAAGAAGTAAGAAAATGGTATTTCTATGTTGAGAATTCTAAGCTAAGAAAGTTCTATCGAAAGTAAGGCAAAAGTAAGGGCCTTAAATACAAATTTTGCGAGAAGTATCTATCTACTATTTCGCTACTTTATTGGTGTTTTCTATTTTTAACTAACGCATCTTCTAATTTATTCTGCTTTCTAAGTGAACTTCTAAATTAGTTTCGCTTTTATTTACAAGACGCGAAGTCTTCTGTGCCTTTACTTACATTGTTGCACAGATCATGCACATTTATAGCTTGTATAGCTGCGGCATCCGGGAACTAAAGAGGTTCCCAACTTTCTAATGTAACAATTTTTCCCCAACTAATGATGAGCTTTGCACGTCAATATTCTATAATAATTTTTGGTGGTGTGGTTGTCTTTAATATCCACCAAATATAAATGCACTATTGGCATCACCAGCATCAGCCAATGATACCACCTCAAGTTTTGGCATAAGGCCAGCGACCCATAGCAAATATTTTTAAAAGAGTGATTGCAGTAATTTTTTGCAATACTTTTTGAATTTGCTAATTTAATATATCCATATCAAATAGGCTTTTCATAATATTGCTTAAGGAGAAAAGTATTCCGTGATGTGTCAAGAATCTGACCTTCTAACGTATATAATCAGTACATATCTTGTGCAACATGACGAAGGGTCCAAGCCACCACGGTAAGAATTTTCCAGTATGATGTCCAATTTGAGCAGCGTTAAATAAAAGTACCTTTTCTCCATTCTGAAATATTCTTAGTACTTGTTTGAGCTTTTTGTCCCAGTAAAACTTTTGCCTATTTTGGGCTTTTCTAATATGCATTTTCGCGACTTCTCTCTTCTTAGATAGGTTGTTAACGATTGTGGATAATCGGTCGACCATATTTTCTTAGATGTCATTTTCTTCCAAAAAGTTCAGAAATCAGGCTTCTCTCCCGTATGTTAGATAAAAAGGCGTGAATTTAGTTGTGAACTGTTTACTAGTTCTATAGGCATAGAGCACTGAAGATATAAGGGCGTCCTATTCTTGATCTTGTTTGATTAATTTCACCAAGGACTCGCATAAGGTACGGTTGTATCTTTCAACCAACCTATTGGTCTGTGAGTGGTATGGGTCGACATTAAATGTTTGATCTCGAAATTTCTAACCAAAAACCTTATTACTTCATTGTTGAAATATAGACCTCTATCGGATACCAAATATGAAAGGCACCCGTGTCTACAAACGATTTTATCAAAGATGAATCATGCGGTCTGTTAAGTATTAGTGGCAGGCACTGCTTTTGCTTCAGACCATTTGGTCATATAATCAACTGCCACAATAATGTATTTATTTCCTTTTGTGGTTAGGTCCAGTGGTCTCACAAAGTTTATGCCAATTTTGTGGAATGGCACTTCGACGAGTATAAATTGCAAGAGGCCACGGGTTCAATACTTTCCGCATTTTTAACATACATCACAGGTCTTGATGTATTCTTTAATTGAGTCGTATATCTGAGGCCAGTAATATCGACTCTTTATCTTCTCTAATGTCTTTTTAGTTTTGAGATGGGCTCCTAATAGATGCGTGTGAGTGATATATAAAATTGCTTTTACTTCGTGTTGCTATATTACCCTTAATAGCTGATTTCTTGTCTGTTTTCTATGATCTTTTTTATATAACAAGTGGTTTTGTAGAATAAAGAATTTGCTTTGGGATTCTAATTGTTTTTTCTGTTGTCTGTTAAATTGCGGCGGGTATTCTGCTGTCTCCAAGTATTGTTTTGGATTTTGGTATTAATTGGTTCCATTTTTTATATATATCCCTTAAGCTGTAGAGTTCGTGTAACAATTTTAGCTTAAAAATAGCATAAATTTAGTTATGATCTATT